GGTCCGTTCGGATGTGACTTGCTCATAAACTTTTCCTTGAGCTGTAACCTACTTAAACCTAAGTCTAAGATAAGCTAATGCTGCAAGGCGGTCTGACTTCAAAAGCTAAGTCTCAACTTTTTCTTTTTCGAACATTCCGCATTTTCCCTGGAATTTGCTGGAGTCCTCATAGATTCAAGCCTTCAAAGAACAGATGGTGTCGATCATGCGTTAAAAATTCTGAAACTACTATTTGGCTCTTTGCTGAAACTATCTTCTTGTTCTAATATAAGGAATATGTCTATTCAGTTAATACGCTCGTTTTCATTTCTGACTTTCATATGGAATTCATGCTTGGGGACCAGCCAAAGCTGGAAATTCGTTCCTTATTGTAATGCCTATTTGAATGTGCAATTTTTATTTTCATCATTTCAAAATAGGAACTGTCTGTAACCATAGTTGCCCTGGATCCATCTATATTCTGTGTACTATAGCTGCTACTCTCTTCATATCCCTCCCGGTTGTTCATACTCAATAGAAAGCGAGGTTGTAATGACTTATTACTTGGACATTAATGCCAAATATTGGGGATGCAATCCTGCTCTCTCTTTGAACTTGACTTCTAACCCTCAGCAAATTTACTTTATATCTGAAGTTTAGTGGGCTTTGCCTAAGGCTTAACTGGTGTTTGTGGTGATAACCTCATGTGATTCATGATCACTGTCATTGTTCTCTATATAATTTTTATACATCTATAATGTCTGCTGTGAAACCATTGCTGCATTTTCACAGTCAGGATGAGTTTATTTGCACTTTTCATGAACTCCAATATCTCAAATGAGAGAAAGAATTTCTCTTTCATCATACCATTTTTAACCAAAGGCCTAGTTTTGTCATTTGTCTAAGAATAGACCTGGGCTATAAGCATTGTAAAATTTTTGAAGTGATGACTGCCTAAGAAAGATTTTTAGAAAGCCTCTCCTTTCCATTACCCATATCCCTTGAAGCCTAATAAATGTGATTAGAATTCTTGTACAGGAGAGGAAAAAATCATGGTGACAAAATGGAAAGGCAAACTTTAAGGTTGGTCAGCTACCCAGATAAATTTGTAAAGTTCCTCATTGTGCAGGCTAGCTCTATTTCTGAATTAATGCATTGTTATAGGCCTATTAAGTAAGTCTGCAGGTATGGTTTATTATGTCACCACTTTGTCCTCTTCCCCCATGTTGTCACTTTTTTGCATGTTCTGTCATTCCTATCTTATCCAACCAAGGCCTGCACTAGCTCCCAAGTTCTTCCTTATCCTCCAGTTTTGAATTGTGATTGGGGGTTTACCAATTTTATTTCCTAATTGGAACACAAATTCTGGTTATGCTTATTGGTGGAATGCTCCCTTGCAATGCAGGGAAGATCCAGAAAATGGAGATCAGAGAAACAGGAGAGGGGGAGGAATTTTGATGAAGAAAGATTCAATTTGAAAATCTTTCTTCTTTTTTTTTTTTTACTTGGTTTTAGTAATATCAGAAATTATGAAAAGGAAGATAATGTAAAATATAAATAAATAAATAAGTTACAGTGAGGAAGTTCAACATCAGGGATGGGGGGAGTTCAAGACCCAGCATGGGAGTTTGAAGGATATTGTACTCTGATCAGTGCTGTCTGAGCTCTTTGGAGTAAAACATGTCTATCTGTGCAGATGGCTTGTGACACAAAGTGTAAGTGGTGCTATGTGTAAAAAGCAAGAGTCATGACTACTAATAGAAATGTTGTGGGATCTAATGTGATGAAGTGTGAGAAAGGGGTGGTAACATAAAAAATGATAACCAAGAAGACATAGCTAGGGCTGTTCATATCTTCCATGAGTAAAAGAAAAATGCTATATGAAGATGCATTTGGATAAAAATTCAAGTCAATATGTGTTTTGCACTGATCAATAATTGAAAAATTGCTTCTTGAATATGTATGCTTCCCAATTCTCATATAAGTCTGATTATTAAAGCCTATTGTACTCAATCCCAATCATACGCCTAAGTTACGCCTAAGTATATTTAGATTCCAGATCTATTAGCTTTGAATGTTACAAGGATGGTTGAAGTTCTGAGTAGTGTGCCCATAAATATATGTTTGCAAAATTTTCATGAAACTTCAATTTCAAATTTTATGTTAATGATCCTTTTGGAGTTCACTGGATTTTTTGCCTTTCGCATGCTACAACCAATCAGCTACCACATTATGGTTTTAAAAAAACTTTCAAGATATATATCATTGAGGGATGTCATTTAATTTCTTTTTTATTTTTTAAAAATGCCCTTGAAAGTGTGAAGAAAATGCACTACTCAAAGGGTCAACAAAATGACTTTTAGGCTCTGAGGACTTGAGAGGTTTTAGGCCTAAGTCTTTCTATAGTCTGGTTTTGAAACTATACAATGATAAACAGATGTTATTCCAAAGGTCTTAGTGATGGGCCTAGGTCTAGTCTCACTCCAGGCTTATAGTGAGGGTGTTGTTGGAGACAGACATATACCTAACATTAGGCATAGACCCATATGCCTTAGTAGGCCTGCCTGCAAATGCTATTATTTCTCATTCCTACAGTTAGCCCTAATCTATGCAATTGTATCTACAATAGACCTAATATGCTTTAGTTATGACTTTGGTGTGTAAGCCATGGCAGGCCATGACTTTCATAATACTACTCTCCATGGAAATCTCTACTCTGTGGACCATGCACACACTGTTTTCTGGTAAATCGGCTGCTGCCTGTCATATGCAAATGAGTGCACATGGTTGACATATGCGTACTAGTCAAACAGAGATGTTGATGGATGAGTTCCTGGAAGGAAGGAACTCTCCATTGGTTACCCATTGTACCCATTTGAGAGGTATTGGCCAAAATGCTGGTGCTTGGGTTCAGTTGCACCAAAGAAAGGGTCAGCAATAGTTCCATCAAATGGATCCATTACCTAAGTTTCATTTGCTCAACCTATGGCAATGGAAGGCTTTCCCTTTCAAGAAAAAAACAAATTCCCAGGTTGCACAAACAAAGTGAGTTGTCTTCTTTCACCATTCGGCTGAAAATGTGAGAAAAGTGTAATATGGAGAATCATGGATCTGCATGGTTTTTTTGTGGCTTGGGTCAGTTAGGTTTACAAACAACTACATATATTTAAAATGAAAGCCTAAAAATTTGAATGATTGCATAATTTCAAAGGTAACTATCATATGGGCCTTTACAACAAACATTCATCTTCACTAAATTTTCTAAATCATTCTGTAAATGTTGCAAATTTTTATGCTTATCTGTCCTATGTTTCCCTAATTTGTTATATGGTCTTTGACCATGGACTCCTACAAAATTTAACAAAAGAAAAGAAACACATGGAATGCAAACTCAAGTAACCTGTTCCTAGAGCCCAGTGTACTCCTAGAGGCTACTGGACCTGAGGGAAGCATATGAGATATTTCATGAAAGCAGAAGTTCTTGACCTTTTTAACCTGCAGACCAATTTTGGAATAGAGTGTAACTGCCCTGACCCTTTATGGAAGACAGCTGCATGATTCCCTTCACAGTCGTGTAAATTTGTAAGATTCTAAGATCAGTGCAAGTAACTTTGAAGGTGATGTTTTTAAGGTCGGCTAAAAGATTCAAACCTTTTTTAATTTCAATTTTAACATTTTGTTCTGTATGTTTTTTTTTTTATTTTTGACCTGGGCAGTTTCCCTTGGAGCCTCACCACCTACCCCTAGGGGTTTCTAGACCCCAGTTCAGAAATGTTGCATAAGAGTGATTCTCATTTGCCAGTCTCACTCACTACAAAGTTTACTGCCTAGGTCTTATTTGATTACCTGAGACCTTAAAGGCCTAAATCTCCCTTAGGACTACTCATATGACTAGGCTTAGGACTGACCTTATCATCCTGTTAGTCTAATGAGCCTATTTGGGTGCTGGAATAAGATAATTTGGGCATAGTGTGGAGCTAGATTGACTTGATAACTTAGCCTCCACATTTCTACATTATACCTTTGTTTCTTTTTAACTATAATTTAAAGTTTGTCTTTCCAAGTTGTATCTGCAGTGTTGAAATCAGATTTTACTTTGTTGACTTACAGATAAATTATTTTCCATACTACTGGTAACATTACCTCATTCTGAAAAGTCGGAATCGTCAAAAGTTGTGTATCACAAGGCAGGTCTAAACCATGGTGAATCTCTAGGGCCTGTGAAAATTTCATTTATCTCATGAAACCTCTTTCAATAAATACAGGTGACCCATTTCAAAAGCTTACCGATAAATGGCTATGTACAACACAACCAATGGATGGAATAAGCTGAAACTTGGCTTATATACTACTGGTAGCATGGGCTTCTCGAATCCGTGAAGCAACACTGGCACCACTGGTGCATAATTTGCACGTCGCGTGGTTCGCGAACAGCATAAACGGTCCGTGTGTGACTGCGAATTGTGGAAAGTCAACATGTCAGCGCTTGTTACAAGAATCCAACCAGTATGAAAGTTTTATGAAGAAGGAATGAATTCGGAAGCAGCCTTGAGGTCACACCGTCAAAACCACATGTCCATGCTCACGAACGACGTCGGGGAAACTTGAGAGGAAATTTGTAAAGATTGGATCTGTGGCCAAATAAGCCAACGGGAATCTCACCCGACTCTCTGCGTTAAATGAACCTCACATTTCCCATGCTTTTTGCTCATATACAAAAGCCCATGCTGCCAGTAATTTACGTGCCAAGTTCCAGCTTCCTCCGCCAATTGGTTTGAAATGGGTCACCCTGTATATATGGCATGGCATGACATGGCATGGCAGTCAGTCTGCAAGGTCCTTCTCACCTACTACAGATGATCCTTTCCTTTATCTGATTCATGTGTTAGTGAAGTACCCTTGCCAGGAAAAAACTAATACTAAGTTTCTCTTGACTAAGGAGAGTAGCTTCATTTTCTCCATAACATATATGAATATTTTTTTACTGATAAAACATATTTATTGAGAGTGAAATCTTGCAAATTTTGCATACTGAATGTGTAGTTTCGAAAAACTTGGAATAACAGAGTTCTTATTTAGGGTGGACCAATGTGGCTTTGATATCATATAACCATTCCACCACTAAAATATTTTCTGTGATCCATGAACTGTCATAATCGCCAAGACATGTGGGGATGAGTATGCCATTGTTCGGAAAGAAAGAACCTACCACCAAGAAGAGCGGAGGTAAAAAGGAGGATGAGAAGACTCCACGAATAGAGGATAAGTATGATCTCAAGGATCTTCTTGGAACGTATGTATACATTTTTGTACCCATTCATATTTGAAAAGTCCCTGCCTTCCGCATGGGCTCAATGTCGAAACATTTGGAAATTTTCAGGGGAGCTTTCTCCCAAGTTCGACTTGCTGAAAGCAAGGACCTACCTGGAGAGTTCAGTGCTGTCAAGATTATTGACAAGAAGGCCTTGAAAGGGAAGGAAGATTCCCTTGAAAATGAAATTCAAGTCCTAAGAAGGTATAAGCTTTTTCTTTTTACGACTTTCGTGATGAATCGCGCATATTGATGAAAGCACTGATAGGAATAAACATTGTCGCCGGCACTGACATTGCTTTCTCTTGCAGATTGCGACACCCCAACATAGTTAGGCTGGTTGAGACCTTTGAGGACCGAAGTCGAGTCTACCTAGTCATGGAACTGTGAGTTCAATGTCTCCCGCGTCACAGTCTCTCTCTCCCCCCTATCCAGATCGATCACCTTCGATCATATAATGTCGATTCTTTGTGTCCAAGGGTGACTGGAGGAGAGTTATTCGATCGAATTGTGGAGAAAGGTTCGTACACGGAGAAGGATGCGGCGGATTTGATCCGGCAGGTGCTGGAGGCTGTTGACTACATGCATCAGCAGGGTGTTGTGCATCGCGACCTCAAGGTTACACCTCTTTTCTCTATTGTTCCCCTATAGGCGGAATGGAATAGTAATGTCCCTGTCCTCGTCGTTCTCATGATTTTGAATCAGTGAAGAATCGCGTGGGTAGGATCATGAAATAGAGTCAAGTCAAGGAGGAGGGAAGAGGCGAAGGGAGCGGAGAGAGAAGAGATGGGAAATCCTCTGAGGGAGGGAGCGCAATCTGGGTTTGAATGGCAGGATAAAGAGAGATAGTGATGCATTCGAAATGTCTGGAATCCCTAGACTCCTTAAGACGAGATCCCCGGGCCAGATATTCCCACTCGTGTTTCTCGACCTTGAAGAAAGGAGACGAGAGGGGGAAAAAGAGGCAGAAACGGTGAATCCAATTGAAAAGGAGCAGAGCTTTCAGGCCTCTGCGTGTCCCCAGAGTGGGAGGGAAGACGAAGACGAGAGAAGTTGGGCGGTAATTTTGGGGGAGACTCGGGCCCAGGAGACGTGAGAAGATTAACAAATTCGGTCTTCCTTGTGCGCTCTATCTTCCTCGATGACGAGAGATTGAAGGAGCGAAGAATCGATTTTGGCCCGCCTCACGGATAAAGATGATGATCGGCCTTCCTACCCTCCTATCTTTTTCTTCTTTTTTTTTCTCTTCTCCCCCCTCCTCCCCCAAACTCATTAGTCAGGATAGTTAATTCCCCCGGGGCCATGAAAATGATCGCGAACGAAAAGGAGGGATAGAAAGAATCCCGATCGATTCGTTTATCTTCTTCCTCAGAAATCCATGTTATCGTCGGAGAAAGGGACTTCACCGCTCGTGTTTGCCGATTTCCCTTCTAGGCCCATTCCATTTGGAAGGAATGAAAGAATCCAATGCAAACTTTCATTTTCTCTTTGCATCGATTGGTCTCCCTCCTCTTGCCTCATCCCCATTTCGGTCTTTTCTTTTTCATGAGTTCCATAAAATCCATCATGCATGTCGTTGCGCCGTGATAGATATGTTTACGTCCCATGAATAATCGAAAACTCTTGTACGGTGCAGTGTCCTGTTTGCTAATGTCTGGATATTACATTCTGCCCCGATGAGGATCAATGATGCGCAAGTGAGGTAGTTTCTTTCGACGTAGTTTCCCTTTCCATGTGGGCATTGCCTCATCGCAGCAGACGCTCTTTAAAAAGGCCCTTCCACACTCGCAAGGATCCAAAACCGCAGAAAATGTAACCCATGATCGCAAGAGATATTCATGCCCGAATGCCCAATAGCCAGGGCTGCTGAATTTGGATATTAATTATCAGGTAGTCGGAAGCTGAGAGAATTCCCTGAAAAACTATAGTTCTTCGAAATTTTCTATCGATCGCGATATATTGAACGGCTCGTTTAGACCCACCTAGAAGGCATCTATCATGCGTTTTTGAGAGCCCATTATTTTACTTGGTCGTCATATGGGATCCTCAGTTGCTCTACATCGCATGAATCCAGGGTTACGTGGCTCTGAATTTTACACAGAGTTGCCCATGATTTTCAATTCATCGAGAGTCTTCTCGACTACTCACTCGAAATCCTAGCAACCCGCGCACCCTCGAAGTGTATTTTCCCCGGCATTGGCCTTCCCTGCAGTAATTACAAGTATACAGAATGTAATAATACAGATTGTAATAATAAAAAGTAATACAGAATGCATTACTTATAATTCTTAAATATTTTCTCCTTTATCCGTTTTTTCATGCTTCGCTGAGAAGTGTAGTAGGTCCGATCTGGAGCAAATTGTCCCTGCTTAGGCTTAGGAATCACGCCCTAAAACTGTAGCATTGAAGTACTCTAATGACAAAGGATCACGCGGAAATTTAGCTTATCTCATGCAAGGACAGCTGGTGCTACAGTCGATTACGACAAAGCTGAGTAATTTCCCGATTGAAATCCACTTCAGAGGCCATCCCCATCAAGCAAAGAAGGTAATTTAAACAGAGTTTGAGAAGCCAAGCTTGAATATCGCCTGATTGGAAGTGGAAGAGCATGATGGTGCTTGTGTAAAAGGAAACACGACTTAAACCAGATGAACGCGAAGCGCCTTTTGTGTTGGATCCAAATCTTGTGCTTACGTCCTTTTTCCTCGCCACAGAGGCATCGGATTACCATGGTCTCAACTCCATTTCCCTTGGGGATCGTATCTCTTTCTCTCTTCAGGTCTTCCTTTTCCCGGATTTTTCCGTTTATATACAGATACCTCTTTCCCTTCCCCCCAATCGATCAAAATTAGTCCCTCACGAATGTGGGTGCTGATCCCTGCGTTTTCCCTCTTCCTTGACAAATTGGCTTTCTTTCTTCCTAAATGATGGGAGCATCAGTTGTTCTCTCTATTCTTTTCTTTTAATTTCTCTCTTTTTCCCGTTTGGGAACGTGGTGGAGGCCGTGCACTTCGTTAAGGACCCTCGGGAACCCTCCCCAGGACAATGCAATTCGGGATGGAACTCATTACATTTGGTGCCCGCTCCCCAGTCGAGGAAGATGGGAGGAAAAGAGGGAGAGCGGATGAAAAATGTGAATGTGACGCGATGGGAGAACGTTCTGGAGCTGAGTTAGGTCGATTTCTCTTTCATTTCCCATGGAGTTCGTGGAAAGCAGAGAACTCGTCTATGCCTAAGCGGTCATATTGAAGAGCGACTTGAAAGCATTTCTGTTGGGTCTTTTCCTGCAAAATCTCAGAACGTGCTGAGCCTAGGCCACTCTTATCAGTGAATTTCATATTTTTTGTTCTTTCTCGCTCCAAGTAGTTGGAGTGTAAAAAGAAGCGGCATGACATGTCGGGAGAGGGAGGGGAGAAAGACGGCGTTATTGCATTCGGATCAGGCGGACTTGTATATTGACGGGGTGAGTGGGGGGAATCGATGAGATTACGGGATTCTGGATGCGATTCATCACTCTCTGGAAAGGGGAACAGATATATGAAAGGGAGGACAGAAAGGGTAGGGAAAGGACTATATAGGCGAAGGAAGAAAGCCCTGTGACACAAGACCTATCCCACATTCCTTCAGTCCTTCCTTTTCGGTAGAGGGAGCGAATGAATGCTGTTGGCTTTGACTGAGAGAAAATGCGTTATGCATCCCTTAATCAAATCACGCTCTCCTTACCTCTTCCTTCTCTTTTCATCTCATCTCCTTTTCCAACCTCTCCCTCTCACGGGAATGAGTTCTCTCGGCTTATTTGCGAGGTGGAAGTGGAGGGAGAAAAATATTCTCTCACGTAACTGGTTTATGTTCCACACAGTGGAACTTTGATGGCGCATCATCACATAAATTTTAATTTTTTCTAGGAGAGGATCTGGATTTATTTCTTTTTTCATCTGAATTTTACAGAAGAGATAGAGAAGCGTACGTAAATAATTACTGGAACACTGAATTTGTCTTCACTGATTTCAGACGTTTTTCGATCGCGTGATGGTTCCAGAAGTGATTTTGCGATAATTTTAAGTGATAGGTATATGCAATAGTATTTTTATTAAGCTGCTAAGGCGATTGGATTAGTCGACCGACTAATCGAGTTTTAATCGACAGTCCAAATTTTTCCTTTAAGTGCCAGTTTTCTCCAAATACACTGCATTGTGCAGTCTTACTGAAAAGGTAAAAAATGACCGTGATTCGAATCGAATGGAAGAATGGTTCGTAGAAGGCAGGTCTTATTTGCATAGCTCACTCTTCAGTATAATATATATCAGTATATATAAACTTACGCTTTTGGGAGGGAAAGGGAACACAAGAAAAAATACGACGCCATCAGAATGCGAGCGAAATGCAAGGAAAATGAGTGTTTCATGATGAGATTGAAAAGAAGGCGAACGATTTCAAGTTCGAGGCGGTTGTTGCTGCCCTGCAAGGTTGCAATACGTGCGTGGAATCGGGTCGGCTTGACTGGAAGGATTTTTCCATTGGGAACAAGGTTAGGGAGAAAGTCCTCGCCTCCCAGTTTCATTCATCACCCAGACAGAATGCTGAGTGTAAAAAAACACTGAAATGCAGTAAGAGGGACCGGAATTGCATTTTTCCCTCTGGCGCCACACTTTTCCGTTCTCCTGTGTCCGAGTCTTTTGCTGCCTCTTTCCGTCTCGTCCGTAAGCTTCAGTGTGCCAGGCCAGGTGCAGACTGAGTCTGACTAATCTGAATCTGAAGGATCTCTTCTGCATATCGGGTCGTCCGGGAAAACACATGTTTTCCGATGAAGTTGATTTCCGACAGAAAAATTAATCCCGAAGAAAATGGGATTAATCTTTTTCGTTGTTCTGTTCGCAATTGCACTGGTTGGGTTAATGTTTAAAAAGAAACCTCACTCGGGCTAGTAGTCTCCATTGAGTGTTTAACCCAGTGATACTGGGCATTTGGATGCATGCCTGTGCTATGACGAATCCCCCTGGACCCCGCGGCTCTGTCCCGAAAGGACTTCCCTGCCTTTGTGATGCGAGTTTGTCCAGTGGTTGGGACAGTATCACAGACCACCACTCTCTGGTCACTCGTCCGGAGAACTTCCTCAGAGATTGGGGGACCACTTGGGGTCCGGACGTTCCTCTGTAGCATCCCTAACGCGAGCGAGGATCGATATTTAATTGTAGCAATGCGGTATATAAACTATTCCTTGGTCATTTATCACAGCGGGTTTCTTCGGTGCGTGCAGGTTCCTGTTCGGTCAATTTGAATTGATTTTAATGTCTGGAGGCTCAAAATTCGATGCATTGTATCGTTTTTGATTAGTTCTTGTTTAGCCGACAGGATATATGGGATTTTCCAGGAAAGCTTCTTGGGTTCTACATTCTGAAGGTCTAGGAGGCGTGTCGTCTGCCATCTAGCGGAGGTTCTGTGAATTGCACCTATATAACCGCACGTTTAACACTAGAACCACCGGATTATGTATTAAAGCTATCATTCTGCAAAAGAAAAATTTTCCCCCAGATGTTATTTGGTATGTTCAAAATGTCGATATTAGATAGGAAAAGTAAAAACTGCGGAGGTCCTTAGTTGCCAAACGAGCAAGGTGCAGTTAAAAACGGCGAGCAGTAAGTGACTGCCCTGGTAGTCTAGTGTTGTTTGGGTTGCATTGCTTGGGTTGCTGGTTCAAGGCCAGTGGTCTGGAAATTTTCATGATGATTTTGCCAAGTTTTTTTTTTATCAACAAGAAAGGAATACATGTGGGTGGAATACAGGGTGGCCCAAAAAAATGGGCACTCTTTTCAACGCGCATTTTCGGTGTGATGCTTTCAAGGATATTTTTTCTGGTTGAATGTAACGGGAAGAAGGAAGATTCAGCTACAAAATGCTTTTCTCAGACTTGAAATATCTTAAAGGATGACCTAGGAAAAAAAAAATTTGAATATTGGCTACTAAAAATCGACGTTGCGCTCACCGACCGCATACGGTGGCAGGCACATGCAATCAGCCTCGCGATGTCTGCTAAGGTCAGCGTTTCCCTTCCTCTTCTCGTGAGTGCAGGGACGTCGAGTGGATGCTGGGTCGAGTTGGTGAGCGCAACGCCGATTTTTGGTAACCGAAATTCAACCAATTTTTTCTAGGTCATCCTTCAAGATATTTCAAGTCTGAAAAAAAGCATTTTGTACCTGAATTTTTCTTTTCAGTACATGCAACCAGAAAAAAATCCTTGAAAGCATTGGACAAAAAATGCGCGTTGAAAAGAATGCCCTTTTTTTTGGGCCAACCTGTATATTGATTTGCATGGATTAATGGTAGTGATCTTTTGAGGTATTCCAGAATGTAAAATACCGTTCCCCATACTATATCTGCTGCAGATAATTTTCAGACCTATTCATGAAGCAATTTCTTAAACTTTCAGCCAGAGAATCTCCTCTACTACAGCCCAGATGAGGACAGCAAAATCATGATTAGTGATTTTGGGCTCTCCAAAATGGAGGACTCAGGAATCATGGCAACGGCCTGTGGTACACCAGGATATGTTGGTCAGTATCCATTCCTTTGATTATTCCGTGAGTTTTATTGATGTGGACTATCAGGGATTTTTTCTTATACTTTATTCCTGTGCAGCCCCTGAAGTGTTGGCCCAAAAGCCTTATGGCAAGGCAGTAGATGTCTGGTCTATAGGAGTCATAGCATACATCCTTCTCTGTGGATATCCCCCCTTCTATGATGAAAATGATGCTAACCTCTTTGCACAAATACTAAAAGGTCAGTGAAGGACAGAAGGTCCTATGCAATAAGGGATTATCATACTGATTATTTCCATGATTAATATTTTGAATGACTTCCCACAGGGGAATTTGAGTTTGATTCTCCTTATTGGGATGACATCAGTGACTCAGCCAAAGACTTCATTCGGGGTCTCATGTGTGTTGATGTGGAGAAGAGGTTCTCGTGTAAGTCGGCTCTTTCACACCCTTGGTGAGTATCACTCTCAGTTACATGTTGCCAGCATGCAAAATGTATTCATTCTCATTCAACATGCCTTGTGCTCCATTCTCATAGGATCTGTGGTAATGCTGCTGACCGCAATATCCATGACTCTGTGTCTGCTCAACTTAAGAAGAATTTTGCCAAGTCTCGATGGAAGGTATGTGATATAGGCCTATTTGCTTTTGGCGTATTTCCCTTCCTGCATTTATTTCCTCTGTTGTATGAATTCAAGCAGATTTATTTATGTTTAAGGGAAGTACTGGTTTTGCTGAGCTGGGATGCTAATGTGGCTTGTGTAATTTGTGATCATGTAATGAAAAAGCTATTTAGGGTGTGGCAAAGAGGTATTCATTCCACATTATATAAAAATTAGGCCTAAGGCTACAGGTGAAAGTGTGCATCATGGTGATTTGCATATTTTGAGGACCAACTCTGGAGATTTCCACCAGATTGCAAACTAACCATTTTCCCTGGAAGCCTTTTAAGGATAGAGAAAGTGGCTTGGCATTCACTGAAGCACGTGCCAAACTAACCTATTTTTTGCTTTCTGGGGATTGGTGACATGTATTTCGCGCTTGCAGCAATTGATGCATGCCATAGCCATGGTGCATAAGATGCAAAGGCTGGCCTTGAGTTCAGCCAGCATGGACCATCAGGACGAAAAGAGAACAGATGCCGAAAGTCTGGGGGAGAACCCAGGAGATCCTCAGCCGTCTTCATCATCATCCTCCTCTTCGCAACAGCTCCCAGCAAACCCCACGTCTAGTGATATCTGTGTGTAAATTCAAAAACCTTACCAGCCTGCCCATGTGCATGCAAATCCAGATGAATTGTGCATGATTGTTAACCCCTTCAGTACCAGGGGGGGATGCATGCATGCAGGTTTGTTAACAATGGATAAGGAAGCATACCATAGCTTCTATGACTAAATTTCCTGAGATTGGGGCAATTTCCTTGTACAATTGTTTGTTACTGGTATAGTCCTTGTGACTTTTATCATGGGCTATATAGGTAGATATCCAAAATCCGGAAGATCCATATTGCATTTGGTTCATGCAATGCATAGCATTTCTTGTTTACCAATATCTATCCAATAGCCTAAATTCAGAGTGATGATTTTTCCAAATAACTTCTCAGAAAAAATTTGTCATTATTTAGTAATGGCTAAATTCATCTTCTGACTAATGACCCCAGGTCATGGCATTCAGGAGTGTCAGGTATGAATGGTTTCTACATCAAAGACAATTTTTTTTGTTGTTGGATACTAAGGTGGGCAGCTCTTTCACTTTCATATTTAAGATGCTGTCACTAGGCAAAAGTACCACTTTTTGCTTAATTGTGCCACAATTAGGCAAAAAAAAAAGACACCTGCTTTTAATTTCTTGTGAAAAATTTTTGTTGTAGAGCACAATAAATATCCTTGTAGCACCCAAGGTCACATATAGATCAGACAACTTGCACTTGGTTTGTGTAAATATTAATGGTAGTGATAATTACCCATAATTATGATTAATTTATAATAAATAATTTAAGCAATTATATTGTCAACTCTCAATATGGCTATAAAATGACAAAAATTGGACACAAATAATCTGAAATTACTATATAAAAAAAGCCAATAAGACAGAAAGAAGAGGGACAAAATAAGGGTAATGCCTGATCACTAGTCATGCATGTAATGACTCCCAAAGAAAATGGATTCTCTTGGCCTTTTCTTTTTTTTTGTAAAAGTCAACCCTCAATATACTGCCACTTTCACATACTGCCAACTCTTCCATGAGAACAAATCTTCCCCATAGGCTTACCAAAGGTGCTCTTCTGTTAAAGTGCCACTCTCACTAGCTGCCATCTGCCAACATAATTTACTTGTACAAACGTGTCTTATTCTATGCAAGTCTTACTCAATATTACACTAAGCAGCATACTTTACTGGCCACAATCATTATACCATGTACAAAATGTAATGCTGCCAGTTGCTCCTTTCAGTCACAAGATAGATATGAAGATTGTATGGGATGACTTAGTGTTAGAATAGGCCTCCAGAGATTAGAGAGGGGCGTAAAGGGTTGCCTAATCTGGCCTAATCCTGTCTCTTTTGGAGGATGGAAACGTCACATTAAGATTATGTTTAGGCTTCTCCAGACAATCGTTCAAATTTGTGCACTATCTAGTGATGGGGGAAATTACAGTTTTAAGTGTGAATGGAAAATTGGAAGTGTGCTGTTAGAAGGAGGCGAATGTGTTTGAAAGTCAGCAAAACTTTACGAACAATTTTTCAATTTTTTAGTACTATAATGCGAGCAGACGGTGCATGGGAGTTATACTAGTTAAAAATAAAAAAGTCATAGGATTTAATAATGGATTGAATATATAATAATTTAATTAAAATTTAATATATAATAATTTAATTAAAATTTAATATATAATAATTTAATTAAAATTTAATATATAATAATTTAATTAAAATTTAATATATAATTTTTCAATTTGTGTAATTGGTGTATTCTGAGGCATGAACCATTGGCATTGTGGATTAATTAAAGTGAAATTTGGTGCATGTTTCATATAAAGTATTAAAAAAGTATCCATTTTAAAGCCATGCATTTCAATATAGCACCACCCTTGATACAGTGCCAAAATCAGCTGAGACCAACAGTGGCAGTATATTGAGAGTTGACTATTTCCTTTGTTCATATTTTTAGTATAGATTGTTTACTTGAAAATGGAATATCTGAAGGGTGTGAAGTGAAGGTCTAATGATGTGAATAAAAGCAGTTGTGACAAATCTCCCCCTTTTTTTTAAAAATACCCTAGGATTTACCAGCTTTCCATCTCAGAAAGCATTTAATGGCTGGTCATCTTTTTTCTGGAAACACCCTGGTACTGATTTGGTTAAGGAATGCCCTAAGTGCTTCCTCCAGCACCACTCTGCATCATATTGCACCATCTTAGATCCTCTAGAGTGTCTTCTTTCAAAATGAATGGACTGTCATGGAATGTTGGACAAATGGCTGTTTAGATTTTCAGCTCATGCACTGGAACTATTGTACTCTCACTGGATCATGTATAAATGTTATCTTGGAATGAAGTGAAGGACATCTTGGAATGGAAGTAAGGAATGTACCAATAACAGGATTTTGAGAAATAAAGGATGGTGAAATAATTAAAAAAAAAAAGCTCCACAGAGTGGTTTGAAATTCTTGAACGTTGCCAAATTCTTTGCTTTTCTATTCTCCTTCTTCTCATTTAGCATATATGTTAGTGCATCTCATCTCTGAGCACACTCACCTTCATAGCTTTTTCTGCAATTGACTCCTTGCATACATAACATCATCTATCACTTCCCAAGCCACCTGTGTACATACATGTATGAATCATTGCCTTAAATTGCCTGCAAGTGGCACAGGCATAAATGTTATATGTCTGGACCATATGTCTACCTTATCTGCATGGCAAACTGGCAATAAAAAAGGTGGCAATACCTGTTACTACTGATGAGACTGAATCAGTTGATGATACCTATGCTTTACCAGTTATTGGTACATCCCTAATTGATAATTATGATTTGCTGTTTGTACATAGGCCTATACCTGTGATGTATTGTATTGGGTGTTTCTACAGTCTCACTGCTTAATTCAATTCCATTTGTGGGCTTTTCATGAGTTTGAATTTTTTACATGCAAGTCTTGGTTGACAGCAAATGGTAGAAAGATATTTAATTGCTTTTCCTGATGAGAGTCTTCATTGTGCAAGAAACAGAACCACCAAAAACCATCCACCATAGTGAACTCTAACTTTACCTGTTCCATCCTTGGTGTCAAATGATGGGTATGCCACTACCAAGATGTTGAAATCATTTACATGTCACTCTGAGCCTTATGTTGTTGACCTATGTCCATCTGGGATAGAGAGAACAAAATCTGATGAAAAATCGTTGTGCCATTGAAGGTACAGGATTTTTACTGAATCATTTTCATTTTGTTGAATAAACTTATAGTACAGCTATGTTGGAACAACAAACAGCAAAATTATCATCACAGTGGAAAGATAGTGAACATATTTGTTAAACAAGGACTAGCACTACCTAAGACACAAATCCCTTAGAGCAGTGGTTCCCAAACTTTTTTGGTCATGACTCAAAAATTCAACATCCAAACCCTAGGTCACGACCCTCGTTTGGGTCGCGACCCAGGGTTTGGGAACCCCTGCCTTAGAGTGTACAGTTTTTCCCTCTACCAGGTAGGGTAAGGGAGTATGAAAGATATAGACTTTTTATTCTAGAGAGGTTTAACATTTCCTAGAACTTCTTTTATGAACAACATCCAACAAGTGTGCATGCACTTGGCAAGATTGTTTGATGCACTTCTCATGCATTTCTCTGAAATTGTTTTACATTTTAGTTAGAGCAGAGAACATAATCCTATTAAATATAGGCAATTCATTTGTTGAACTGCAACAGTATATTTTATTGCTTGAGCTCCCCTTGAAACCAGGCAGCTCAAAAGTGGAAGACTGGATGCTTGAGCAAGAGATGCTTTGCCTTATGCCCAGACTGATGGCAGTGATTGCCTTGATGCTCTTGGAAAATAATATCCCTATATCAAAATTAAAAAAAGGCTCATAGATGTGAATGGGGTATATGGCTCTAGTTCACACAACTCCTATTGTAATAGTTTTTTTTTTATTCCCTGGCATATCCCTATCAAGGTGGGCCAAAAAAATATTGGGTTATCTTCAACACTTCACAGCACAGTCTGAGAGTTAAAAAAAAAATACTGCAATAGCATCTCTATCTAGCTTTCCACTGATGTCAAAAGATTTCAGATTCATTCTGATGCAGTCTTGCCCAGTGTAACAGAGGTAATGCTTGAAACTTACCAGTACCATATATGATGTGCTCCAGGTGACATCCATTCCTTCACTTGCTCATTCAAAATCTTACCAGTATGTTGTTCACTTTTCTAGCACCACATCTTATATTCTTTATCTAACTGCCTGAAAGTTATGCTAGAAATCTTTATTCTGCAACATCATTGGAAAGCTAAATGAATGTTCTATATGGAGGCACTATTGCAATTTTAGCAAACTCTTGAGGGCCAGTGCTGTGTAGTTGTAAAGGTAACCCAAGTTTTTTTTTTTTTTTGGCTCACCCTGTACTTAGAACTTGGACACAGTTTAGTTTTTTAGGATAATCCTTAAGAGAAAAACATCAACTCATACTCTCCTGGGTGAAATATCTGCAGTACATTGAGGTAAAAATTCTCTTATGAAATAAATTCATGATTTCAGTCATGCTAAATATACTAAATGGACTTATATTTTATAGACTTCCAAAAGGTACTTCTTGGGAATGGAATTCCTCATACCTTCTGGATTAATAAATGGTTTATTACTAAGATTTACAAGTTAAAGAATGAGTGATACCTAGAGCAATGATTCACTAGATGGAATGAGACTCATGATATGTTCTTATGTTGTGTCTTGCAGCAAGCATACAATGCCGCAACGGCAGTGCGGGAACTGAGGCGACTGGCCCTGACCAATAACAGCTCTGATTCTCTGGGAGAGACATCCCATTCACCCGAGGCATAAAGTTGGATGACCCCATGCATGATCCCTTCTTGCCACACAACAAATGAGATGCGTTGCCTCTCCCTGACGTTACGGTATCCCTGCATTCGTTCTGTAGTTTCCCCCTGTGATCCTCATGCAACGTGTTCATTGGAGGAAGGATGTGTGATACCTGCTTATGGAATTTTCTCCTTTTTTTTTCCACCCTTGCTCCTTCTCTGTTCATCATATGCTTGAGCTCAAATATATGCTGAACTACTTATAAATTTTTTAAGGCCTTCAGTGTGAGAAAAAGAATTGAAGCATTCTTGGCTGTGAGTGTAGAAGGATCCCTTCATCCTTGGTTTTTATTGCATGGTTTCACAATGATTTATTTCTATACAACAGGAAGGAACAAGGGTGATTGAAAATGTCAGATGAGATAGAAAAGAAACCTCAAGTGCTTCAGCTCTTTGTTGGCAACAGTTTATCTCTCCCCAAGTGCATTTGTATCCCCCCCATTGTTGATTGATATTCTTTTTGTGCTGAGAGAATCTCATGCTAGATTCTTTTCCCTGTGGTCCAGGAAGACATCAGAGTTGTCTTCATGCTGTGAACATCTCCCTGTATGCATCGAGACAAGTTTATCCCTTTGTGGACATGTGCATTGTTTTCGCACATGAATCTGTGAAGTTCTTTGCAATTGTTTTCCTTGCCCCAGTTGTTGCTGTGCTACTCAGATAGGAAATGGAGCTCTTCTGTGCTTCTTTGTCCCCTTTCCTCCCAAGGATATATCATGACCCTAGATACATCTACTTGGCATTGCACTTATTCTTGCTTCAGTACTCATGCCAGGCAGAAAGTTGATTCATCCATAAAACAGAGAGTTACAGATTCTGACATATAATACACAATACAGGTTATACCACAAGAAGACTATGGAAACTGCTTATTCCATCAACATTACCTTAATAAACTCCTTTGGCTCAACTTCTCACCTCCAAGGAGAGGTGAGTTTATCATTCTCTCCCATTGTTATAACTTTCACATCAGTTTTAGAAGGTTCAATCGAAAGAGGTGGTTGTTTTGAAGATGTAAGAGGTCTTTTGGGCTTAGCATAGGTGGTTTTCACCTTTCCAGCTTAATTTTAAACTCTTCCAGATGGTTACTGGAAAAACAGCACAAAGTGGAACAATTTGGCATAAAGGCATTTTCAATGATATTGTCTACATTTGAGTCCGATATTGAACTGAGGTGATGAATTTGCTTCTTGGAATGCATTGCTTTCAGATGATATTAAGCTTGATACTGACCTGATATAATGCAGTTTAGTTAGGAGTGCCTTGCTTTTCTAGTTTTACTTTAGTAGGGCTTGCAGTAACTTTTTTTGCCTAACATTTTATTTTACAGTGAACAGAGTTCAAACTATGGATGAAGGAACACCCATTCCATATGCATACTGGTTCCTGGTTATGCTGCATGTGCTTGTATGATTGGATTGCATAATTTGAACTCTTCTGTATTTGATTTTTCTAATGGTATCTTAGTCATTCAGTATCCTGCAATTTTTTTAAAATTATAAATACATGTTGGGCATATGAGAGGTTGCCCCAGGGTACAGTTGTCTTGATTTAGGGTGCCAAAGGTCTGGAAGGAACTTCCACCCTATCAATCTATTCATCAGCATTCTGTGACAGTCTTTCAACCTGACCTCACTGAAATCAATGGTTGTTCTTTAAATGGGTTTTCTTAACCAGTTGTTCTGTATATCCCTTGTTACAACCTTCCATTCCTTCAGAATTATATCCATTGAATGAACTCCATTTGCATCGTTGATGCATGGTGCTGTCAAGATTCTTTCCTCCCCTCCCTTAGAGTCAAGGATATATTCATTAATATTATTTTTTGTTATGTATTTCCTCTTTTCTTGTGCTTTTTCTATTCATGAGTCTGTGCATTCCCTGTCTGGTGCAACCTTCCAGTGCCATTCCTCTTTGAGTCCTGCATGGACGAGTGAAAGTTCCTTCACAAATGTGACTGTATCCTTGAGAAGACCCAAAAAGAAAGTATTGAATTAATAAAAGAAACTTGAATCCCCTGAAAGAGGCTTTCACTTGTGTTTATTTAGGACTGTCTATCAAATCGCTGAACACGGCCTTGCCACACCTTCTCATTGATCGCCTCAGCTTTTAGGGTTCCCTTCTGCAGCACCGCAGGCACAGGATACTTGGGCTGTAGATTCTGAAATTTTATCAGTTTCCGCTTGGGAACATGTCTCAAGGCGTACTTCCAGTCTTTGTAGTGTTTAGCATCCAGCAAGATCTCCATAACTTGGTTCAGAGTTAGGGTCTTGTGGCCCATTCCCCAACTGAGGATACAACCAGATACAATCAATGATAAGTTCAAAAGTTAGCACATTTTATATTCAAAAGAGGAGGCTCACTTAAGATAGGTATCAAGAGGAAGTTTCTGCATTCGAATGCCAAGACGTTTGGCCTTGGCCAAGGAAATGGGATCACCACCGCTCTTGTCGACAATAGCACCGATGATGTATGTGACATCATCATCCACTTCTTTTATTTCTTCACGACAATGGGGTGTGAGATAAACAAGCTTATCTTTGGGGTAGAGATTAAGGTAACTGTGTTCATGAATGCTCAATGGATATGTGGGTTCTCTAATGGTCGGAATGAACTTTTCTAATGCCCTGTAGGTGGGACTCTGGGCATCCACATGGCAAAGTTGAACATGAAATGGATCTGCATGTCTTCGATTGGCTGCCAAGGCCATCTGTATCTGATCAGCACAATTCAGGCACTCCCGCTGGTTCATATACGAGTCATAGCTGAGATCAAACACAATGGATTGGCCCCAGAGCATGGCATTAAACACCTTGTAGTTGTGGAACATGTCCATGGTCTTATCATAGACCTTGAGTAAAATGGTATTCTTTGCAAGGCCATAGATGATGTGTGGGTTTTTTGCCCGTTCCTCTCTTCTCTGGGCGAGATATACCTCTCGTAATTGTGCTGCTTCTTCTTTCTTTATCACCTGCTTCTCTTTTGCCTTTTCCACCTTGAAGAGATAGAGCAGGTATTTCTTCCTTCCTGCTCTGTGTGAGAGAAAAGTTATTTGCTCATACATTTCATATTATCCAGTCTGTAGCCCTAATTTCACTATTTTGCAAAACTTAGGCTTCACAAATTATTATCTCCACTCATGGAACTAAACCAGTGAAAATCCAGAGGGAGCTCAAATGAGTATAAAGTAAATAACATGATATTAATAATTTCAGCCAAATCATAAGGACTTTATAATGTGTTGCACCCAAATTAATTGTATACAATAAGATGCAAATGAAGTCTTAACCCTTTCAGGCATGTTTATCTCAATTTTGTCATAAATCTATTTCCTGGAAAAACCTATGCATTAGAATATTAAATACCCTCAGGGGGGGAGAATTATTTTATCTACATTAACCTTTTGACTGCTACTGACGCCATATGGCATCAGTCCCGATGGCCCAGCAAGGGATTTATATTTTAAATACCATTTTAAAGGTCAGGTATTTAACAACTTAAATGGACATCATATATGTATGTATCACTCATTATGGCTCCACATTTAAGTAAATATTAAGAACAACTGAAATTTGCATTTTTTGGGGGAAAACCCAGCACAGGGGGTATTACAGGCCCATAAAAACCCAGCAGTCAAAAGGTTAATACACAAGTTATGAGGTGGTTTCATACTGAAACCACAGTAACTCAAGATACATATATCCTCATCAGACCTTATGCACATATTTGTGGACAAATAAATCTGATTTTTTTTTTCAAGCAAAAGTAAAGACCAATGTTATTTTCAATGAAAAACAGCATGTGACAAGTTATGGGCTTTCCAACAACTCACATAGTGTAAATATTAAGATGGCTGCCAGTAACAAGATGCCTTGAGGGCCTGGGCAAGTACCACATCATAAAAATTTCTTTTTTATGTTAGTGTTTAGAGAAAAATAACATTTATCCTAAATATGGTAATGTTTCATCAATCCCAACAACCAGTTCATCATCATTTTCTTATAAAATCCTCCATTTTAATAAGATGCAGTACTTTAAAATACTTAGTACACAAGTGTGTACATGGGGTTCCAGTATAAAATGTTCCATTGTATTGCTTGTCAACAAATGTAGCCTTTAGGACACAAGCTATAGCAACTCAGTAACTTCCTTTCAGATGAACAGAAGTTGTCCTCTGATCACATTTTGAACTGGCTAAATGAGAATGGTATTGACTTTGTCAGTGACAATAGCCTACTTGATTGCTATTTTGAGCCCAATTTTCCTCACATCAGCCATACACAGCCAGGTGCAAGAAGGAAGGATGTGAGGGAAGGACAAGACTTAGATGTACAGAATACATGGTTTCTCTCTGTGCCCTAAAAGAACAAAACTGTTTGGAAGAATTTCACACTGCAGGCTGATACCTACAAAGCATAAAAGAGAAGTGGCATAACTAAGTTGAAGTGTCCTGTTTGTAACTTTATAAGTTCCACTGTGGATGGTCTAGGTTCCTGATGTATTTGTATCATATTGGGAATCACAAAATTTGTTTTCTGAAAGTTTCATGTATGTTGTCCGAATAAAAATCAACAGTCATTCAAAGTGAAGTTATAAATGTACCTTTTCCATGCATGAGGTGGATGGAGTTTCTGTACTGCTTGAATGATTTCTCTTACTTGATGCCATGAAGACTGCTTTTTACACCATGTCTTTGTTGTGAAATAATACTACTGTTGTACATTGTAGCATCAGAATCGATACTACACAGAATACTATGATGAGAACTAACATAAAAGCAGCATTTATGTTGTCAAGGTAGAGACATCATTCAAGCAGTCCTCTAACTCCCTCCACCTCAGGCACAGAAAAAGTACATTTTATGACTCCACTTTGAAAATTTGTCAGTTTTTATTCAGACAACCTAGGTACATGAATCTTTCAGAAAACAAATTTTGTGATTTTTCCAATGTGATATGAAAACATCTGGAACCTAGATCATCCACAGCTGAATTTATTAAGCATCAAACAGGATGCTTTTTTGGGCCACCAAGTATACTTTCGAATCTGCCATGCAAGGGACAACTAAAATGGCCACATATATGCAGCTCAGGACTAATGAGAATATGACCACCTCAATCACTCAACCTTCTACTAAATGCCTATCTATCCTTTTTTGCACTTCTCTGTTGATACTTAAACTTCACTCCTTGATGTAATTAAAATCTTGACTATTGATGCATAAGATTTGAGAGGACACCACTATCCAATACAGTGGAACCTCGCTTAACGAGCATAATTTGTTCCCGAATCTTACTCGTAATGCGAAACACTAGTTAAGCGAATCACTCGTTATGGGAGGTGCTCGTTAAGCGAGGTTTGACTGTATATGAATATACAGTCAAACAGAGTGATTCGCTTAACAAGTGTTTCGCATTACGAGTAAGATTCGAGAACAAATTATGCTTGTTAAGCGAGGTTCCACTGTACATCTATAAGTTGAAGGAATGATGACTTTAATTGTTGATTTATTGACTCAATGAAATATTGCATGGCCAAGAAGAAAGGGGATACATGATGTGAACAATCAATGGGACATTATGGGAGGTGCTCGTTAAGCGAGGTTTGACTGTATATGAATATACAGTCAAACAGAGTGATTCGCTTAACAAGTGTTTCGCATTACGAGTAAGATTCGGGAACAAATTATGCTCGTTAAGCGAGGTTCCACTGTAGTTGAATATGGTGTTTTGTCTGGAGACCACCATGACATTAGATGGAAAAAAAAGTGAAATGGTGGTTTCACAGTGAAACCACCCTGCCCATAAGGGTTAATCAGTAAGGGTATGAGCAGTTCCTATTCCATCAGGCACATGGGTATATATCACACCTGGAGGGCAAGTTGTAGAGGTTCTTCCACTGTTCAGGAGTTAGAGATTGAGGAACCTTTTCACCTGTCTCCTGCCAGAGACTGAATTCCATGTGGATGATCTTTTGCAGCCTTTCCTCATTTTCTGTGCTGCCAAACCCCCTCAAAGTCAGGGCAGGGAACAGGCGAAGCTGGGCAGGAGGTGACATGGCTCCCACAGCTTGCTGTAAAATTGATCCTCCACCACATCGGAATTGCTGTAAAATGTGTCTCAACATTTCTCACTGCTCAAAATAATTGTCTTGTGGTTACTTCTTCATACATCTGTTTACTCTCACTCTGATTGGTCCCTTCGTCAATGATGAAACCTGAGAAAATATTAGTCAAAAGTTTGGGGCAGGTGAATGGTCAGACGGATAGTGAGCTTGGCTCCCACAAAAGGAGATATGGGCTCAAAACCAACAGTCAGGTGCTTGTTTCCAAGTTCCAAATCTTAATGCACTTGGAAAGCAAACTCTGCAAGCACTTGGTACTCCCATCTCTAGATGTCAGACTTTAAAGCAGCAGTTCCCAGACTTCTTTAAAATGCGACCCACTTGCTGATGTGCAAAAAAATTCATGACCCACGGGAATCCAGAACAAAGTATTTTGAAAGTAATCATGACATGAAGAAAACTGTTTGCCCTTTTCTGCAGGGCATGTTTTATCCTGAGCAGATGCAGATATACTGATTTTTTATACTGGGAAAATGCACTTGATGCCTCTCATGACCAACAGTTTGGAAACTGCTGCTTTAAAGAACTCCAAGGCTGAATCCAAGCAACATATCTCAAAATGTACAAAGTTGAGTATCCCAAGGTTAGAGGCAACTTGTGTTCCAATGATGTTACAAGTAAAAGGTTTACCTGGCTCCTCAGAGGTAGAGCACATTTGTACACCTTAAGCCTCTTGTGCCTGGTGTCCAATTTTATCCTACCATAAAAGCTCTTTGCAATGTCAACTTTTGAAAATAAACCCAGTAATAATCATCTACATCATTCTGAGAATTGAGTTTGTACTTACTTGTTTTAACATGGAAATGATCATTTTTTGTGAAGACAGACATTATACATACAGTTGCCCATTCAATTCAAAAGCAACTACTGTTTTTCCAATATTTTGCTTCTTGTTGAAGATGTCCTCAGCATTTCTCTCACCAGTACATCCTTATTCAAATTTATTTTAATTGTTGGCTGTACAGTATCTCAGGGAAAAGCCCTGAAGGCATAGTGCTCACAGAATGACCAGCCAACTGATAGCTTACTGAAACTCAATTGAAATTTGGAATGATTTCAGCAAGGCTGCCTTTATTCTCATTGCACACTAATCCATCAATTAAATAATTGAAGAGATCTAAAAGAATTTACCACATAATTAAGCATCTGTCATCATGACTAGGCATAAAATGAATGACCTTTAGGAGCACACCTTTGAGCAATCCCTCTCCTCCATCAAATTCCAAAAGAAACACTTCATGGGATCACAGCAAGGACTAGAAATGATGAGCCTAGATTTGATGACATAAATGCCACATTATCCCTGATGAACATCACTGTTTGAAAATGTCTATGGGTTGGTGGGTGGTTGAGAGTGAGAGTGAGAGAGTGAGAGAGTGAGAGAGAGAGAGAGTGAGAGAGAGAGAGAGTGAGAGAGAGAGAGAGTGAGAGAATGAGAGTGAGAGAGAATGAGAGTGAGAGAGTGTGAGTGAGTGTGCACACATGTGTGAGAATGCAATAGTAGAATTCACACCTACGAATGTGAAAGGAGGAGTACAGATGTTAGAGACGAGAAGGAGAACATTGGGTCTTGGCTATCCCATCCCCATCCACATCGTCGTCCATCCATGCACCCCTCGCTGCAACACACCATTACCTCTCACTTACACAGCTACTGGCCAATTACTGAGATCTCCCTCAGAGGAATATAATAATTTGCTGAATATTGATTGCGGAATCAGTCAGCACAGCATCTTTGCACTCTTCAACGTGGAAAGCCAAGAAAGTGCTTTTTCTACAATACATTTATTTGAAATTTAAAAATTTTTTAAATACCAATAAGAGCTCATGTGATTTTAATGTCTCATACAGAAAAAAAGGCATTAGCCTCATGTTTGAGGAGTACTACAGTAATGTAGTATTTCTCAAGTAGTAACAGTAATTCACAAATGAATGGGGGTATCTAAATTATATTACTTTTCCCAAGAGGTAACATTTCCCTATTAACATACAATTCCCATGTAAAAGAATTTGCAATTTTCATTACTACTTCATGATTACTTGAAATTTTTTTTTGACAAAACTGCAAAAAATAAAGCATTACTTCTTGTCATGGCATCACTTGCAAATGCAACTCTCCTGCTCTTGTGACTACAAGCAACCAGAAGTGCCAGCTCAAACTAAAAATGAACCCAAGATCAGTTCAATCACAGAGATAAGTGCATTTCCAGTTTGGATCATCTATGTGCCTTTGTTTTTTTTTTTTTAAATAATGCTACAAAAGTAAAAGGACAATGCAAAGAGAATTACAGATGATGGAGTGGATAGGATGTTCAACACAAGTGAATGGGAATGGAAGTTAGGGCAGCCCCTCTAAAGCCCCTCTAAAGGTATTTTCAATTTCCAAATCCATCCTAAATTGTTGCTTATCAGGTTGGATAGGGTTGGGACAAAAGGGAAACTATTCATAAATAGTTCTATTTGGGGCTGTAGCCTTGAGTATGATTTGAGTTGCATACCATACAGAGAAATTTCAATATATGTAGAGACACTTATCAGTTGATGGGTAAATGCAATCCTAAAAATGTGCTTTTTGAAATATATCACAAGTAAAAGTCAATGCTGACTTTCAAAAAGTAATTTTCCCAACTCTAGCCTCTCCTTGTCTTTCATTATGAACTGGGTGATAACTTAAACATCATACAATTTGAAAATGGCATATCTTATGTTTTGTCGAATCTAGGTATGGGAAATTTGGCAAAAATCACGTACACATATGAGAGACTGATTGCTCAAAGAACATGTTCAACATGTCCAACTCCCTATTCAATAACATGACATAGGTGCAGAGTACAATTGTGCATGACTACCTGCAGCATATCCTCAAAAATTTTGAAAATGACCTCAAATATTGCTTCCTATACCTTCAAAACTGTGTGGGAGGTTCAAGCATTCAGTCCTATCAGAAGTCCCATAAAAACCAGTTGCACAAGTTTTAAATGCTTCACCATCCACAGAATGGTTACCTTTTCAGGTGCTGTGTGAGTCTGGCATTCATTGCAAACATTTTGATGTACTGTAATGCCTGCACATCACCATGTTGTCACAACTTGGTGGAAATAAATTCTCCACATGTGTTTGTGACTACTGTCAGGTTTCCCAATCACGGACAAGATAGTTATAGCATATTAAAATGGTATGATGTTTAAAAAATCACACTGTACATTAATACAACGATCAAAAGTAGCCAACAAACCCATTCAAGATTTCACCCCGGGGAATAAAAATTTTTGAAAAAGAAAAATACCAACAAAAGGGTCATCTACAAATTGAAGGTTGCATGCATGAATGAGAAGCAGCTACTGAATGGCATGCCAGGATCAGAAATGAACCAGGCAGATGGTACACAAGGTACAAATGAATCCTGGTCTTCAAGGGTGGACACAATCCAGTCTCTAGGATCATGCAGGATGGATCTAGAAGGTGTCAGGGCGATTGTCTTGAGCAAATGGGAGTCCACTGGGAGAGTCATCCAACCTCTGGGGTTTCACTGAGGATGAACGGGGACGGAAGGGCCATGGAAAGCCCTTACCTTTGCTGCGGGGGACGAGGAAGCAGATGGCCAGAGCAATGCACATGTGCCATGCACTGTGCACAAATTTGTAGTTGTCGTTCGTCTGCAGGAATGCATACATTGTCAGCCCAACAGCAAAGAACAAGATGCCTGGGAGGAGGCCAGAGTACCAGTATGGCTTCTTGGGGAAACAGCTTCGCTTACTTCGGCAATGGGCCACCTGGAATCCAAATCCACAAGATAATTAGTTAACTCTTACTTAGGTTCTGCATCATGTAAAGCAGTCATAACATTTACTATTTGGTTGAATGTTTTCCCTCCTTCGGCTTAAGGATTCATAGCTGATCAAGTCTATGACGATACAAAAGCCAAAAAATTAGAATAGGAAAATTCTCAATGTCATTCTAAAGGTGAAATAGGATAGGGGAGATCTCATTTCTGTCTAGGTTTTTGATGTAGTGTTTACTAGGCACCAAAACTCCTACACACACCTTTTGGCTATGGAGAAGGTACAGTTCAGGTCCTATACGCCAGCCATCATTCCTTTCTCTAATCATCCTTACCAGAGTGGTGTATTTAAACTTTTGAGGGGGGATGAGGTTGTAGAATAGGGCATGCTACATATAAATTGGAGGGGGGGAGGGCAGAAAAAATCTTCAAGGGCAGTGATAAGCATTTTAAAGGGCTAAAGAGTGGCTACTCCCTCTACCCCCCACAAAATATGCCAGATATGTCAAAATATCCCTAACATTCTGTGGAGTTTCTCAGAAGAATATATTCTGGAGAAAATATAGAAAGATATTCATATTTTCTTATACATTCCTTTTGATCCAGCCTAGAATGAAACAGATTATATGTTTATTTAATGAGTATCAGCTAGAAGGCATTTGTCCAACCAAAAATGCTCATGCTTTTGTAGGTGGGTTTATGTTAGTAGTATTGGTAAGCTATCAGGCTTAACCTTCACAAAAAGAAACCTTTTTTACCTAAGATCTGCTATATTTAATAAGAGTAGAAAAACATTTAAATGACCACAACCAACAAGAGACCTTGAGAACCATTGCATATTTTATGGGGGAGGTGAGGCCAGCCTGTAAAAATGGTTCAATGTATTAGTAACTTTTTATAGTATCTATTTTGAGAAAGCAAAGAGCTTCCATGGAGATTCATGTCAGGCATATATGACAGGGCCTGTCACCCTCATTGACTTCTTCATTTCTTCTCCACACCCTTGCCATTCACTTAGCACACTTCCCCCAATGTCAGGACCAGCCCATGAGTGAGTACAAATAGGGCAGTCATGGCAAATAATGACATTCAGGGATGTCCTGTATCAGGCATTTGAAAATTTTAACATGCCACTCTATCTTAGCCACACCCAGCAAAAAACGAGACAATAAATTAAATCTCACCCAAGAAACAGTGAGGATAAAGAAAGCTGAGAGGAATGGGATTAAGAAGACCCATAACCCCTGTCGATCATACTGCACACCTAGAGCAAGTCCAATTGCTCCAAGAAGATGTAAACTTGAATAGAGTGTGAAAGGGAGATCAGCCATGGCAATCACTGTCACCCAGAGTGCAAGGAGACCAGAATAAAAGTCACAGAACTGCAGGACATCATACTTCATCAGGCAGAAATAGTAGGTAGATGACTGGTCACAGGCATGATAGAACTGCAAAATGGTAAAAGATGTGAGTTCACAACTCTTCATTCACAGTAAGAGTGAAGGAAATTTTAATTCCAGATTTCAGACTGACCGTTGAAAAGAACATTGTAAAGAAGTAAACCAGAGCTTCTGGGTACAAATGTCTATAGAGTGAGACCAGCAAAGCTGGTATGAACATGATGTTGCTCAGTGTGAGAAGGAGTGTTGATAGCAGCAGCTCATAATCCTGCATGGCTTTTGAATCATCACTGCAGTCCCAGCCAGTATAGCCTACATAATATATAATAAAGACAGTTCTATTGGTTTTCCTGCAATCTAAAACTTGACTGTCAACCAACTGATGAATCCAACTACATACCAAGAAAGCATCGACAGGAAGAGAACAGATGCATGCCTGAGAAGTATGTGTAACATTTCCCATGCTGGCCACAGGAGCCCAGAACACAAGGTGCATTGATGAGGCTCACTAGCACCTTGAATGACTTGTCATCTTCACAGGGTTCACTAGAACTGTACAAGAAAGAACTATCAGGTGTTTGGAGATGGAAAATAGGCAAATTGTCCCCTGATCTTAAAATGGATTCCACCTGTTCTGTTGTCATTCACAGGAAAGAAATTCCAGTACATTACCTAGGGAGTATTAAGACAAGTAGGCTTATGGAGTTCCCTTAGCCTTCTAACATAGAGTGACTGATAAAGGCATGCAATGTATTAGCATACTTAGTAACATGCATACCTGGAGATGTTGAAAGGGTAGCACAGGGCAAACAGACTGAGGTACCATAGTCCAGGAAGTGGATACGGGACATGAAGATATTCTGAAGGATTCGTGTTATTCACCTGAATGAAGCCTGAGCCACAAGCTGTGCTGCCAAGAAGGGTGTTATAATCTGACCACACCATTTGGCTCAAGCATCCAATAACCTTCCGACCCTGGGTCCCTGAAGTGACACCCTTCCAATATTGCAAACCAAGGACAACAGAAGCCAAAATAACCAGAAACAGAAGCCATAACAAAGACCAAAAGCAGAGGGAAAAACATTGATGGTGGTTAGTAGATTCAAGACCCACATGATAGTTGCACATCAAGCAAAACAGAGGCAGGTTCTCACCAATTCAGTCTGCAGTTTGATTATGGCAGAAAGAGTTCCACCTATATCCAGTGAATCTTCCAGTGCAAAGGTTAGGACAATTGGCTCTTTAGGATTCAAGGAGATGCTCATCACAGGGTCATCTATGGACTGCCCTGCCCCTTCCATGTTAGTTGGAAGAGTGAAGTGGAATGAAAAAAAGTCAGGTCGAGTGTATCGTCTCAGCTGGATTCTAGGACAAAGGAAAATTTAGTACCTGATGATCTTGTCCCATTCTGCCCAATGGGATGAAATCAAATAAGCTGAAGGAGTACTGAGTTTCTTACCTCTTGTAGCAGGCTGAGTTTCTAAAGTATTGCACAGGATTGGAGCGTGGAATGGGAAAAATTATTCTACTGGAGAAAATACTGGCATCCAAATTCACATTCTGGCTTTTCAGCAGGGAGGCGCAGATATGAGAGGGCAGTAGCTCTGTCATCACCATGTACTGCTGCTCTAATGCCTCATAACTACATGCTGAGAGAAAGAAAAAACAAGTCTGCAAGCACCTATAAGTTACTTTCCCAGTTTTTAATTCAGAGACTCACAGTGATAGCCCACAGACAGAGCAAAGCTGACTGTGCTGCCATATGCAGAAACACTTAAGTAGTGCCAAGCATCTTCCTTTGGGGTGAAATCAAGAGTGCAGCTCCCTTCATCACCTGCCTCCTCACTGCAGTTCTTCCACCTGAAGAAATGCCATAATTTAGCATTTCAAAATGACTTAAATTTTTCATCAGTAATACAAATATACTCAAGAAAGACAATTGAGCACCTTCATACTGATGTATAATGCATGAAAGGTTATAAAAACATTCAGAAATAAAATTATGAATTTCAAACTCATGAAGATTGGGAGCAGGACAAGTAGGAGGAACTCCACATGATTCAGTTACCTTTTAACTGTTCCATTCATCCATGTGAAGAAATACAAAAAAGGAGAAGGGCACTCAACCACTTGTGCGGAATATACTTGTTTGAGTAAAAATTACATTGTATTGTTTCTTAAGATGTTAGGGAAGGCGGCTGGGGAAACAGAAAGGAGCAATGAGCATCCTCTCATATCTTCTGCTGAAGTGTCAGAATCTGGATGAACTACTCGCAGGCATTTGGTTATGTTCACACGAACTCTCCATGTATCACTGGGCACGTAGAACCTACAAGACACAAGTATGGAGAATGCACAAAAGTCAGAAGGCATCTATGCCAACAGGCAAACAGATGCTTGTACCAATACATGAATGTTCAAGGTTCATTTCAACTCACTTGTACAACTGGCTACCAGTCACACTCTGGTAAAGCTTGATATCTTGATAGTCATGCACTTGGGGTAGGATAATGATGACATCATTTGTGACATGGTACTCACCTTCTATATAAACTGTGGCCAGACATTTCACTGCCAGGTCCTGAAGGTAAAAACCCAGGAATTCCATGGCAACAAGGTTAAGAAGAAATGTTGAGCTGACAGTCAACTAGCATACCTTCTGTGTGATGCGATCATCTTCACTATTGAGATATGCTAAAATATACCAGTGTCCAGGGATAGGATTTGTTACGTTCACCCAATGTAGGCTTGAATCACTCAGGCTCTGCAGAGTGTATGTGGTTACAAGTGGGAAATAAAAATTTTCAGGGAATTTCCCTCCATCAATGCTTGTAACTGGATAACTGCCATGCTGAAGTAACCTACAGCAAATAGTAAAATGAAGACCCAATGTGAAGACAAAGAAATTAATCAATCAAAAGAATAACTACACAATTAAAATGTTTGGCTCATAAAATGACTATTTTTCTTCTTACAAGGAAACATTTCGTGCTGGGCAGATAGTGTGAGATTCATTCACTCGGACTTTCCAGTAGGCAATCTTTGTTTGCTGGGGGACGTGCATGTGGAGTATGTTGGCACTCTCATATGAATTCTTAACATGCATTGGGGTTCCATAAGCTTTCTCCTGCTGAATCCAATCTGAAACGTGAAAGTACATTGATATAATAAGGCAAGAATTTTGAACTATATATGGATTAGACATGAATCCTCAACTTTTATTAATAAAAAAAAAAGAATTCTACATTCAGAAAAAAAAAAACACTCTGAGATTGTTGGTAAGTGTAGTGGGCTTTAGTTACAGCTCATTTACTTGCTGACTTTCTAACGTAGGCCTGCAACACTTGCTAACTTAAGCTGCTACATTATTTGAGCCAGAACATCAAAGAAAACGATCATTTAGTAAGGATCTGAATCTAATTGCACAAGATTTACACCCAAGATCAGGGACTCTACTTTTCTTTTTATAGCTTAGGGCATTGACGTGTGATAGGCATAATTTTAGATCCACACCCTAGTTAAACCCAAGAAACATACAAAATAAATGTGTCATAGGATTGTTTCAACAGCCTGATTGCTGAACAGGATACTCCACAGAAACAGAAAATTCCTATTGTGGAGACTTCTAAAAGAACAATATATTGCAATGATTCCTTCAATCATAAATTATTGTAGCATATTCTGTGGGATGGCCGATGTAAATCCCTCTTGGACAAATTGAAACAGATGCAGAAGCAGAATGTAAAACTGATTAGTTTTACTGGGCAAGTTAAACACACTGAGCCACTTCTCAAAAGCTGGAATAATCTACCATTAGTAAACGCATCATGGACCAACTCTCACTGTGTGCTAACTTGATGTGTTAACTCATCATGGATTCATGAATTACTTAAGTCTCTCAGCAACAGCATCTGGCTTGATAGGGACCACCTGTCACCTTGTGGAATTTTTGGAACTATTTGAAATAAGGGATACATGAGATACAACCATTTTTGTATGATGACATTCCATGGATATTAGCTTCCAAAGATGACATCTACCAGTAGACAAGGCATGTGTTCATTAAGTGAAAAATATGTGAAAATTGAATTGGCTGAAGACTGAATTATAGATGATGAAGACAGTGGGCTTCATTGTATCTGATGACAATAGTGAAAAAGTGTGGTTGGTGATAATAGTGAGCAAAAAATATCTGGTAAAAGACCTAGGCCTACCACTGCATCTCCCCTTAAAGAAAATTTTTTTTTCTCATTTCTTGTAGCACACAAAACAAACTCCTTACTTTTGAGCAGCAGTGTATTGGGTTCAAGTGTATGAAAACCCCCAGCAAGGGAAATGTGCCCATTACAATTGCTAAAAGTAGCAAGAGGAAGTGATTGTTGTTAAGGCATGGATTACGGCATTGGAATAGGCCACAGCCAGACGGCAGACATGAGGAAAACCTTTCTTTAAAAAAAATTATCCAGCAGTATCTAAAAGATTCAGGGGAGGGTGCAACGTAACGTACATGAGCCTAACATTTATGGGTTTACTCTACTCCGACAATCTGCAATAAGCTCACCGGTTGCATTTCCCAAATCTCCCGCAATCACAGCAAGATGAGGATCCGAGGCTTCAGACGAGCAGAAGAGGAAGAATCCCCAGATGATCAACATAAATTGAGAAACTGTGATCATGATTGGAGCTTTGTCTCAGGTCAGACGAACTACCGGCCCGGTATAACTTCAGATAGCTTAAGGGGAAGCATATTCCTAGCCAACTTCCTGGTCAGGCTGCTCACGTGGGCGGTATCGATGAAGAAAGAAGCCCTGTAGTGGCCGAAAGCCGAGCTAAGGGCAAGGACAAGCTATGCATGCCGACATGTTCACTCCCGGGGATGTTCGCCACTCGCTCTTTACCCTCACTCCTTGGCCTTCGCTGAAGAGGAAAACATCTAGCCTCAATCGTGATCGTATTGAAAATACTTTAAGAAATTAGTCCTACATGAAGGAGTAAGCTTCTCTTATCGTAAGAATGGGGAATGTCCAATTGCACTCTTGGCCTTGAGTCTGTCATGCGGATCACAGAGAACGTGAGCCCTGTATGGCAGATCCCCATTCTATGGGAGGAGCTCCATGCCGAGGTGGGTGGCTCGGTTCTCATCAGTTGCATTCTCCGTTACTTCCATAACTCTTCCCCCCCCCCCCCCCCATCCCTTCGAGTAGGCCTAAGCCGCACAGACATTCGAAGTTGCTTAGGCCAGACAGTCTAACAGTGTTCAATGAGAACGGAATGTGATTGACTAAAGTCTCGAGCTTACTTGTGTCCATACCCGTAAGAGGAAACTTTTTACAGGATACCTCGGCTTGGCATTGGAGCCTCTAGCTGAAACAAAGCCCGCAGTGTAGTCTAGTGTAGTCTTCAGGTTATTACTGCTCTAAAGAGGACTAGCCTCTTTAGACTAGGTGTGACGGGACATATCTTAACGTTTGGCAAATCAAAGTCTTCTCCCCGGTTTCTTAACTATCTCTCACTATCCTATGCTTGTATTCAGCCTACAACTATTTATTTGGCCTGGTAACCCTAAGCTATGCCTTTTTGTGGGCCTAGCTTATAAGCTTACTTATCAGGTCATTGACATAGTTTCAGTGTCAGATTATCAGCTGAACTTGCTGACCTTTCCAAGTTCGATGGATAGGCCTACACCATTTGATTTCTGCTATCACATATAGCCTAATGAATTCGTGTGGTAGGAAAACTGAGTATGCACTGGATATCTGATAGCTCTCCTATACAGGGTGGATTAGTAATTATGACCCACCTTGTGTTTGAGCTATTCCATTCAAGAGTATCATATTTCATTCAAGAGTATCATAATGAAAGTTCAGATACCAGAAGATTGGGGTCTGAGATAGCATGATGCAAGCATTCACCATTTCTTTGTTGAAAACAGTTTTGTGCTTTAATTATGAGGCACAGAATCCTTAAAAAATGGGGGAAATTTACATTCAACCAGATAATGAGTGTTGGATATCTGGTTTATCCATATTATTCATTTCATGTAAAACTGTAAATTAATTTTATATCATGACCAGATTTATCAGAAACCATTTGATTTTACATGCAGATCCAGGACTTTCTGAAGGACTTCTCTGACAAAATAGCAGAGAAGCTCTCCATCAGAAATCCAAAAGAGTTTGACACCAGGAGCTCAGATGAAATCTCTAATAGTGAACAAAGGGATTTTCCTCTGATGATGCCATCGCTGAAGAAGAAATTTGCAGGGTTCATCAGACAGATCTCTCACTCTGCTACCCCATCACATAATGCAGGGAAACCAAGTGACTGCTTCATTCAGCGGTATTTAAATGGGTAAGTACAAGGTACCAATGCATACTACCTCAGCAGAAGTGTTTCTTAGGTTATGTCCCACGAGTATGACCTTGAAGCAGAATATGCTTAGGTAGAAGAAAGAGATCCCATGCTTTCAAATCTCCTTGAAGGGTTCAAGAATTCTGAGGAATGTCGCAAATCATTTTGTATGAGAAAAGAGAGAGGGAGGGAGAAATGATACATGAAGCGAGAGGCAAAGATGTCAATCTTATTCTTTTAGTCCGCGTGATTCCTGGTATGGATATCTTGCATTAGTGACTTATCGAGGTTGGCAATCCGATTGCTGACGATAGCGTGCGGAATAGAAATAGACACGAGGTGCAGGGGGAGAAAGAGGTGTATATGGGTTTCTGTGGAGGCGGCTTTACAGGACTGGCATCTTATCTTCTCCCTTGGCACCTCTCCATGAAACAAGAGAGCCTGGCAATATGTGCATCGTTTAACAAATATTCCCGGTATATGAGGAAAAAAATGGAACCACGAAGGCTTGATGAGCCCTTGTCATGAAGGGATGAAGGTCGGGATCTTAAAGGGAGTATTTTTCGGACTATTATCTTCTAATTACAAAGTGAATTTTGGAGTGCTCGGCCCTTACCGATCGCCTTCAAGGGCAACGTAATTCCCCTTCGCGCTGGAGAAGATTATCGATTAACGGAAACTTTCTTAATGATGTTATGTCGCGGTGAAAGGAACAAGGCCTCAAAAAACCCCTTCCGAGTAACTCTGTCTCGTTTGCTGCCTCGCCTGGAAGAACTTTTATAAACATGAGGGGAGGGGGGGGGTTAAAACGGAGAACTGGCAAGTGAATTGATCGGGAAATAGGGTCAGCACCAGAAAACACATATACTTATGTTTTCGTTATCTCACCCTCGATAACGCGCGGGAAGATAACGTTAACGAGTAGTTATGATATCTTTCATTCTTTCACAGCTCCTTGTCAGCTAATGAACCGATTGTCGCTATTGGAAGCTCGTTTGCGAGATTTTACTTGGTGACTGGTACGAAGCAAGTGTGTCAGGAAAAAATATTCTTTTTTCAGCCTGCTATATCGATCGTCCCCTGCTGTTGAGCTTTTGTGATGTCACCGTGATTTATGACAAGAGATCACCATTCACGCCCCCCCTCCTCCTTCCCTATTTCGCTGGGATAACTTTAGGGTCAGAACGGCATTCACCCCATTCATCTCCCTCTAGTCTCTTGACTAAGGACCGAAAACGTGGAGTTGGTTTCCATAGAAACTGGAGTCAAGCCCTAGCCGATCCCGTGTGATGCGACATATAAGCTCTCTTGCCCATCTCTGTGACTGGATCCTGTAATTACATTAATGATGGGGAGAAATAGATCGATGGATCTCTTTGTCTTCCCCCCTTTCCAGTACTATAGGGGAGCGCGAGGGACTGACACGAATGTGCAATGTATCGACCAATGAAGAATGAGTCATTCCTCTTCCGTCTTTGTGACGTCATCGTTCTTTAACCCACGGAGCCTTTTTACGAACGCTGAGACGCATCTCTGAAGTCGAATCACGGACGGGAATTGATGCCTTGTTGGTCTCCAAATCTCTCATCCCTAATCCTTATCTTGGATCGCCTGACTGCCTGAGAAAAGCTGACTAAAAGAGGAGGGAGAACTAATCATGTTTTTGAGTTCCGTTTCCGGCTTCCCTTCACGCTTCTCCCTCCCTACGACGAACAACTCACCACTCGACCTCAATTGAAAGCAAAAAAAATGGGCAGTAGTTTCCTTTGAGTCTGGGAGTAGACCCATTTGGAAGCCCAAGGAGATGGCAGGAACAGGCACGTAGAATCGACGCCACAGCTCAGGAAGATGTATAACTTGCAAGGGCCCATATGCAGACCAGATTGCATTCTTGAAGGTTACTTCCCGTTTCGAAGGAAAGGGAGGATGGTATTTACTGAGTCTATTCACCATCCTCCGGCTTGATTTAGGCGCAAACACGAATTTTCATAGTGCGAAATTCTCATTGAAAATGTTTTAAAATTATATTTCAATACAGGTTTTACGTGGATTCCCCTCATAAAATTGGCATTCTTAGAGCAGGGATCGGGCACCTGCGACTCGAACCAAATTTGGCTCACGAGTTGCAGAAGAAAACAAAATTATACCAATTCCCCGCAGAATTTGCAAAAAAAAAGTGAAATGTACAACAAAGAATCATTTCGCATTTTTGACTGAGTAATTCCGCCAGACATAAGTACTATATTCTTAATATGGATTGAGAGGGATTCTTAATATATGCGCTATCTAGTTTCTGTGATGAAAACTTGGAAGGGGTGACGAGGCTTTCATGCCCAAACCATTCCACCACACTGGCAGTAATCACTCGCGCCACGCAGCTTGTGCAAGAACATTTTAGAGCGAAATATTTTTGTTTGCATAATTAGTGGTTATTCAGTTCGCATTTGCAATGAAATTTTTACACTGTAAAAATCACAGTTGTTCCTGGTTTTCCTCATGCATCAAAGAATGCAAATGTTTGTCATCAACTGCAGGAAAAAAAATTCTGATAAAAAAAAATATTTGGCTCATGTGCACTTGGCTCAATCTTAATTTGGCTCACATGGCCAAAAAGGTTTTCGACCCCTGTCTTAATGCAATATTCTCCGTTATTTGGTCATTCCATGTTACTGCAGAGATACAAAAAAGCAGGACTTTTAAAGGCTGCTCTCTTGATCTTTAGAGTTTGAAAGAAAAGGAATTCCAGGCTGCGTTTGATCGCCTCTCTTCAGAGTCAATTGCAGGGGTGTGCCATGCTTTCAATCTAAAGATCTCGCAAACAGATCTTTCGGACAATTGGCGAGAATGAGTGAATTGGACTCTGATGAAGGCTGAAAAGAGCGTTGAACAATAGATATGGGTAATGAACGTTTTCATCTAATTGCCACTCTTTCCTCTCCTACAACAAGGAGAAACTAATGAAAATATCTGTCTGGTTCACATTTATACCCGTACGTCTATGTTATTGCCTAGATCTTTCTGTTGGGCCTTGGTTGCTCTTGTTCATCATTAAAATGAAAAATATAAATATCTCTGCGACCGACGTTGCCTTTTAGTTTTTTGTATTTTCTCGATAATGGGGCAGAAACGAAGAACTCCATGTGAATATGAAATCCATTCGCCACGCTAATCTTGTAAGCATTTATATTATTCATCAACAATGGCATGAGGCATATCTTAACACATTGGCTGCCATGAGGATCACCGGTGATTCTCAACAGGTGGGCATTTTGATGCGTGGCAGCCAATGTATACCTTCCTCTTTTTGTTGGAATGGTTCCAGGTTGCTTCAGGAGATTCCTTTCCTTTAGAAGGAACGAACATATTACCTGCCTCGCATCAAACTCTTGAGTTGAGGTCTTCTCGATAAAGACGTTAAAGTGTAAGACCATTCCGAAAATGTATCCGATGTTGGGATTTTTCTTTTCTTCTTTGACATTTAAGCAATCGCTAGCCATAATTTGATATTCCTCCTCCCTGGAAGGGAATGGAGAGCAGGTTTTCGACTCCAAACCCATTTCTCTCTCTGGAACGAGCCTACTCAAC